AATGAGTACGGGAGTTCTAGGTGATCTAAAGAAGAGAAATAAAATTCGGGCTCACCAATTATGTAGTGGATAACCCTAGTAAATACCAGTTCAAAGTAGTCAAATCAAGTGAGTAAAAAATAGGCCAGATTATACAACTCACAGTTGTTGGTACAGTTAGGTATTACCACCACAATAAATCCAAATCGATCTTCTTCCTGGAATCTTCCTTGATATGTTCCTAGACACTTTCCATCCTGTCGTAGTCTGTAAGGTAGATCACCGCTCGTTAATTCACCGGCAGCGTAACTCGACACAGCAAGAGGCGAACACGCCTTTCACGAGGTACAGAATTTTGTATTGTGTGCCTGCTTTCATTTTAAACAAAAATTATTCGGTATGAAGAGAAGAGGAATAAGCTGAGATTTAATAAGAGATAGAAAGTGGTACAAATTGCGTAATGATAAATTACAAAGAAAGTACAAATGTACAATGGTCAGAAGGATCACCATACCCTGCTTTGTTCTGCTTACTCAAGCAATGCTCCATAGCCACGTTGTAACTAATCTCCTCCACACCATACCCAGCAGAATGTCGACGATTACTAAAAAGTGCACAATTCCAATTTGCTTCATTTCTAGAAGCCTGAGACCTGGACTCACGACTTCTAGCAGTATATTTTTCGCGCGGATAACACTCTAGCGAGAGGGCCAATGGCATTTTCGGTTAGACTGCGTTACTGTGGAAAATGAAAGCGAGTGCAATTTTACTCTGACTTATCCTCACAACACAAACCAATTAACCCGCATTCATGGCGTGATTCTGTTAACAAATTCCATGTATTTGGGGAAAATTCAGTGCATCTAAACTGAATAAACATCAATAGGAAACGTTTAACAAATTGTTGACTACAATTGCAACTGAGTGCGCGCCTAATCGATATTTATGTGTCCTGCCCCGAGATCTTCATCCAAGTGCTCATTACAAGCGAAATTCCTTGGGCAATAACTGAAGAAAGGAAAGAAGAATAGACCAGGCACGTCACTAACGGAGACAGAGTACTATGGCAAATAAGTTCCTCCATAAGAGATGAAAAATTGACCTGAACAGGATTAAACACAACTGGAGAACATGTTCAAGATTGTTGAATTTCTTGCAACCAACAATCTTGTAGGTCATGTTGAATTATTATACGTGGTCAGAACGAGCCATGGAACGAATGGTCTCGGAGACAGAAGGATATATAAAGAGGACGAGATTTCAGAAAGCCATGTGGCACTTGTGAAGGAAAACGCGATGTATCCTCAGCTGTAAGCTACGCACCTTTTGGTTCGCTCCCTGTACTAGCATATCACAAGAATGGGACGCTTTGTTCGCGTAACAGTGAATTGGTGCAGAGTTCTTAATTATGTCATGATTCCCAACTGCTAAACTAGCTTTGAATATCATGTCAAATGTCGTATCTCCTCACCCCTATACTTATGTCCTCATTTCCACAATCTTCCGACCATTATAAGTTGAGTGTATTTACTAGAGCTTTTGTAGATATTAGGCGAGTGGGGGTCCATCTATTTCAGATTTTCGGAGTGCATACCTCATCGTGATATATACAGCTGGAAAGCTCACGACCCCATCTCACTTTTCTAGCTGCTACTTTTCTTTGGGAAACCCCCATTCATCGTTCTCTTTATTGGTCACAACGTGTGCTAGCTCATTTTTGTCATGACC